GACCTGAGATGGCGAAGCCTCAGATTTGACCTGAGATGGCGAAGCCTCAGATTTGACCTGAGATGGCGAAGCCTCAGATTTGACCTGAGATGGCAAAGCCTCAGATTTGGCCTGAGATATCGAAGCCTCATATTTGACCTGAGATGGCGAAGCCTCAGATTTGACCTGAGATGGCGAAGCCTCAGATTTGACCTGAGATGGCAAAGTCCCAGACTGTCGTTTGAGCTTGCTTTTGACCTCCTCTTCTTTCAGATCAACAAATGAGAGGAAATTGTGAACACTTTGATTGCACCTCACACTCGAGGGCTCTGATTCGGAGGACGAATCCACCTGATGCCCATAACGACGGTATTGTCTCACTGTTTGCAACAGGAATATGAATAGTGCAACCAATGAAGCGAACCCACAAAGCAAGAAGAGGCCCCAAAAGCTGCGCAGATGAAGCTGGTTAGCTTGAGGCTGGCTGTTTGACTCTCTGCAACCTGCCTTATTTTTACAAAACCAATGCTCATGGATTTTTTGGAGTTCCCCATTTTCTGATAGTCCCAGGATCGCAGTGGACATGTCCACAGCTAAAACAGAATCTCTTGGGAATGCCTGGGAGAAAAAAAAATGATGAATGAGGAAGAATTTAATAAACCAAAATTATGGAAAAACAACAAATAAATTAAGCAAGCACAACTGGACACTAATATTTGGTGTGCAAGGAAATTTGAGAATGTTTTGATGAATGAGGTAAGTGATCACTCTTTGACTCTTCAAATTATACAAGCCAAAATATCCATGAATATTTGAGGATGTCAGATATATGCATTTAAATCTATGAAATATTTGTGAATTTTTTAAGTACAATTTTAGTCTTGGGACCTTTTAGTTGAGATGGTTTGTCACCCAGTTTATGACGAAGGTCAACAGTTCGAACTTTAAAGTTTATACTCATACAAAACGAAGGTCCTCAGTCAAGATAAAAGCTAATAACAATAATTATATTTAGATAGCAAAAATCAATGTCATAATCGCCAAAGACCACTGTAATGGGCATAGTGGCTTATTTTTAAATACCACCAGTTATTTGGAGATATTTGCTGGAGCAGCAAATGTTCGTTACCATTATAATGATCATTAAATGAAAATTGTCACAATTATGGTGCACATTCTCCATGAATAACAAAAATACACTGGCCAATTATAAATAAAGAAGAAATTACATTTGTATGAGGCTTTGAACGTAACCACACAGAAGATTCCAATTGAAGCAACTATAATCATAAAGATAATCCCCATCAGTTGAAATAATGAACAGTGACAGCAGAGTGGGACACACCAAAACATCACATGACCCAAATGTTGTGTTGGTGGGCCCCAATCTCTCTCAATTAACTTCCATTATTTCAATGGATGGTAATGACCCTGTACTGGTTCTTTTCATAATTTTCAGGATTACATTATGCTTTCCTTATACCAAAAAGTTCACCTATGATATCTTGAAAATTTCTGTATTTATTTTATTTGTTAAAATAATGCTGCTCTTCCAAAATATTATACATCCCCATGACTGTCAAATGATGAAGATAGCCCTGCTTTCCCAAATATGTTGAAGATGACCTTGATCATAGACATGACAACCACGATACCCTATAATGCATAAATTACTGATTTTGCATGACAAAACAAATTACCAACTATTTCGTTTTCCTTTTTTTGAAAGATACATATGAAAAATTTCAACCAGCATACTGTCACCAATTTTGCATGAAAAGCTAATTACCAACAACTCTTTTTTCTTTTTGAAAGACAAATTCAAAAGGATTTCACAAATGACCAGTTTACCCTTACTACCAATACATACACAATGCAAAGGCAGCATATATTTTTTTTTCATGTGTAGTTCATGATTATTCTAGGTGCGTTTACTTACAAATCCCCATCCTCTCTTTGTAAACATCTGCCCAACAATTCCAAACTCACTCCTGTTTGAAAGGAACATTTCCACGTAAGGGAGCTCATCCACGATGGCTGCTACCCCTCCATTTGTCGGTCCAAGCCGGAGGGCTTGGGCATAAGCTTCAGGCGTTTTGAGTGATATAAGTCTAGAGGATGGTATGTTAAGCTCTTCAGTAAGATACCTCTTGGTAAAAGACCCAACTTGATAAGCAATTCGCTCATGGCTTGCAATCAAGCTTTCAATTCCCGTGATGACTGGAGCCAGCTGCTGGACGGTCAGGATCGAAGTTAGGCTGGCTGTGTAGCTAGAAGTAATCACCAAAACCAGAAACAGCCACACAATCATCACAAAACGAGCAAGGGGGCTCCCGGTCTTCTCCGCTATATTTAACACCAAAGCAAACAATGAGGAACACACATGTTGGAGAAAGGAAAAGTATACTATGGTCCAATGGTCTACAGACACTACAGCACATGGACTTCATCACCATCCAATGAAATGGCGCGTGGTGATGATGAGAGATAGACCCCACTAGAACAAGACATGAAGTCAATGGGTTCTCAAATCCTCTCCATCACCTTCCATCATTCCATCGGATGCTCAAGAAGGAGTTTTCAAAGTCCATTGGATTACAATAGATTTTCCCAATCAAATAAAGAGACAAAGAAAAAGGAGTGAAATGAGCTGATGGTGGCTTGGTCGTTATTAGTTTAACAATTCGGCTCCTGTTGATGAGGTATCTTGGTCATTTTGATTTAAGAAGAGTACTTCTGACAAAAGTAAAGCAAGGAACTTAGCAGTATATATACATGTGTTTCAATGTACATATGTATGTAGTTTCAATTTTATTTATAATTTGTATTCACATTAACTGAAAATCCCAAGATGTATAATCACTTCAATCCCAGGAAAAGTAAAAGATGGTTCAACGATGAAACAAAAACACAAGGTCAACTAAAACAGGAATGAATGTCCTATTTGTAATGGTTGAGTTGGTAAAATAGATCAAGGAAGATTATGTATGTTCTGCAGAAAATGTTGCTATTCCTAGGTCCAAGAGCAAGTAGATATTATAAAATCAAAAGACAACAGTACATACGTACTTTGTGCATTGAACAACGTTGAAAAGCTAAACCTGCAAAACACGACAAAAGAAATGAGGCCAAATAAGAAGTTTCCAAAGGAATAGAAGAATAAAGTTAAAACAGAACAGAAAAAAGTCGATGCAATATTTATGGAAAATGGATGTTTTAACCACTTATATCAACTCAGAAGAAAGAAAGAACAGCATTTGATTCTAATAGCCTCCTATTTTCGAGAATACATGCTTATGAATAGTGTGTTATATAATGGATTTCTTATCTTTCTTTTCTTTTAATAGAAATGAGTCTAGATGAGTTTATTTTTAAGGCAGCCAAAAGTACTCACGCGACAGTGATCTGGAATATTCCAGAACCAATATGCCATAAGAGCTGTGTAAGACTGGTAACATTTTAGAAATTCTAAAGCAGCATTACAATAGAATTGGCAGGTTTGCTAAACAATATCATAAATTCACAGGTATCTTTAGTTATTTAACAGTCCAGGAAAATGTGAATGACCAACGTGAACCAGATAATCAACAATTTAGGAACTTCTGACATTTCAAGAGGAAGTAGAAGAAATCACAAAGAAATTTCCCAAAGGGGGATGCTTTCCTGTTAATCACAAAAATTGAAGATAGATGCCGAGTATTATCGAAAATCTAGTAGCCAAATGCTGGACCTGTAGAGTTTCAGGCATTTTCCCCTGACATTTTTTCTGCAGGAGGTTTTCTTTGTGTGTTTTATACAAGATTGTTTCTCATTATGAAATTATGAATTTTTATGATAAATTATTTCATGTATCTCCAGTAAAAGGTGAGGAACCACCCTGGATCCTGACAAGAATACATGAAGTCACTACATGAACCTTAAAAAAAAGGTATCTCTTTCACATTTTCGTTTTTTTGAGGATAGGTAAGTCTGGTACATTACAAATTCTGAGCCAGTGTTTTAAAACTCGCCTAGTCCACCTCAGATGCAGGCTAGTCAATGGGATCCAGCAAGGTGCAGGTTCCAATCGAAAAAACCTTGGAACTGGCAGAGATTTTAACCAGCTGCACATGTTGTTTCTGCTAAAAGTTTGAAGACTCTGCAGAGTCTCACAACGACTCGGCTTAGTAACCCCTCCTACTTGGGCTCAGACCCTAGAGAGATCTGAGAGAGTCCAAGGTTTAAAATATAGCTTTAAGTCCTACCTCCCTCACAATAACCATGTATCACAATGAAGATCATAATCCACTGGATAATGGTCTTCACACTAAGAAATTTATGGAAGAACTATTAGCACAATAAATTCCAACAACAGAATGATGCATCCAATTCTAAACTACATATTTACAGATGAATTTCACCCCAAAAGGCAAAAATTAATGCTGGAATACTTGTAAGAACCAGTTTAATATCGTACAAGAACATTGTCACAAGTTGCTGCTTTGGTGGCCCACGGAAATCAGTGTTTGTTCTGTGCTCAAGGAACCATACGACTGCTCCTATGAATAT